GTTGTTATGTGTTCTTGTTGGTTCTCAGTCCACAGAACTTCCTTTAGGATGTTTTTCATAGCAGGGTTGGCTTTAGCAAAATCCCTTAGCTTCTGCTTATCCTGGAATGTTTTGATTACACCATCGTATTTGATTGACAGTTTGCTGGATAGAGGATTCTTGAGTGGTTTTCCAATAATTCTTGGACAAAACTCTTTTTTATTTTTTTGGTTTCTAACTGTTCTGGAATTCCAATTACATATAACTGATTCCTCTTGATAGTGCTCCACATAAGTCTTAGGCTTTCTTCAGACTTTGTTTCTTTTCTTATTATTTTTCTCAAAGAGGAGTATTGAGAGATTGTTTTCAAGTTCACAACTTTGGCCATCCATTGATGCAATTTAACTTATTTGCCCTTTCAATGCACTATCTATGTCTGAAATCTTAGTATTCATCTTCTGACTTTCTAATTTCTGTTTTGTTTGGTTTCCAAATTATCATTTATTTTGTCACATAGTTCTTGTAGTGTTTTCCTGAATTCTTCTAAAGTTGTGTGTGTGTATGTGTGTGTGAGCTTTCCTTGCTTATGTCGATCTTTCTGTCAGTCCACTGAAGGTTTTTAAAATCACCTATTCAGTAGTTCTTATACTATTTCTGGTATTTTCTGAGTCTGCATTTGGTCACTTGGTTGAGGCACAATGTCTTGTTTTTTGTGTAAGCTGTTTTCTTTGAGACTTGTGGTGTCTTTGTATTTATACTTAATTGATGACTGTATGTTGGCATGTTCTCAGACATTCACATCCTGGTGGCCTGGTGGATGTGATAGACTGAAAGTACGAGCATAGTTCTTTATTCTGTTTAGGGCAGGTTCACGTGCCTCCAGAAGCAGAGGGGACACTCCCAGCTCCCAATCCCAGGAAGAGACTAACGTGCACAGGAGGGGGCTCCACTGGCTGCTGAGTTGACATTGGTGGGATTGGCCATGATGCCCCCACTACCAGGAGGACACAGAAACAGGTGAGAACTGCGCCACCCTTGTCTTCAGCGTCCATTCTCATGCTGTGCGTGCAGGCTGCTGGGTCATCAGCCACATGACATAGCTCATGAAGACTACACGTCACCACATCAGTCCACAGTCAGCCTGCTTGTCTTCTCTCTGCTCCTGTTCAGCTTCCTCTTCCAGTCAGCACTCAGTTTACCTGTCTGTGCTATCCTGGGAGACTCAGAATTTCAGGATCATTATCTAAAACAGTTTCACTTGGTCTGTCATGTCTTTGGTGCAGAGAGTCTGCTCAGTTCTTCTATCTACTCAGCTGTCTTATGCCAGAGTCAGGGTTTTTAAGTTCCAAAAAAGCTCTAAATCCATTAGAACTGCTCATGAGTCTTCCAGATTTTCCTGCTCATTCCTACTATGACTATCTGTCTCCCAAACAGCACACCACCATCATTATCCATCTTCCCTAAGACTGCAATCTTCCTAAGGGCAAGAGCCTAGTACCGTATTTTGCTTCCTGTGGAACCTAGTGCTTAGATTGTGATGGTACTCAAAAAATATGTATTAGGTGGGTGAACAAATGGCTACATCCTGTGTAGCTTAAGGGTTCATTCATATGTTGTTGTTGTTGTGAAGTGCTGTCGGTTCCAACCCATAGTGACCCTATATAGGGTTTCTGAGGAGCAGCTGGTGAGCTTGAACCGCCAACCTTGCAGTTCAAACAGCTTTGCAGTCTGGTGCATTAATCCACAGCGCCACACCAGTCATTCATATGACTGTTCATAAATATCACTCAGAGTGCCAAGAATGGGAAATTAACACCAATTAATCATCACTCTTAGTAATGAGAAGTTGTCTTACAGAGAATCAAGAAAATAGTAAAAACAAAAAACACTCAAGTTACAAAAACGTGGGCTTTATACCCTCTGAGTTATAGCTAAGGGAGGTGTTACTACTCAAGCAATGGAAGGGTGAGAAATAGGCTGTTGTGAATTAAATTATATCCCCTCAAGATTGTGTTGGATTTGTAACCCCTCTACCTGTGGATGTCATTCTGTTTGAAAATAGTGTTTCTTTGTTATGTTAATTATATCATACCCAAGTGGGGTAGGTTATTTTATGCAGTGGATATGACAGTTCTAGGTTTGGTGGTGGTGGCGGTGGCGGTGGTGTGCATTGGAGTCAGTTCTGACTCATAGTGACTGCATAGTGTTTCCGAGGCTGTAAATCTTTACAGGAGCAGAAAGCCTAGTCGTTCTCCCATAGAACTGCTGGTAGTTTCAAACTGGTGACCCTGAGGTTTGCAGCCCAACTCATAACCACTATGCTACCAGAGTTCCCATACACCTCATCTAAATCGCAGACTAAATTTTGACTTTGAACCACATGAACTATGAAAAAATAATTTTCTGTTCGTTAAAGCCAGTTGTGTTGTGTTGCATCATCACTAGGAAACGAAGATGGGTGGGTGGGTCGGGGGGAACCTTTTATGACTAAGGGAAGGGAAACTTTGAGTTGCTTCACCTCTATAAGCAACGCTTCCAGGATTTCAATCTGGGTCCCTGGGCTCCTGAAAGGTAAACAGCAGTCAAGAAATCAAACGAGGTATTGCATTAGACAAATCTGCTGCATGAGAACTTTTTAAAGTGTTGGAGTGCAAAGATGTCAGTTGGAGGACTAAGGTGTGTGTGACCCAAGCCATGGTATTTTCAATAACCTCATATACATGTGAAAGCTGTACAGTGAATAAGGAACACCATAGAATTGATGCATTTGAGTTATGGTGTTGGAGAGTATTGAAAGTGCCATGGACTGCCAAAGAACCAATAGATCTGTTTTGGAAGAAGTGCAGCCAGAGTACTCTTTAGAGGTCAAGATGGCCAAACTTCGTCTCTCATACTTTAGATATATTGTCAGGAGGGACCAGTAGCTGGAGAAGGATATCATGTTTGGTAAGGTGGAGGGTCAGAGCAAAAGAGGAAGACCCCAAGAGATGGACTGGCCACGTGGCAGCATCGATGGACGCAAGCGTGACAATGGTAGTGAGGTTGGCCCAGGATCAGAAAGTGTTTCATTCTGCTGTGCATAAGGTCGCTATGGGTCGGTACCGACTCGATGGCACCTAAGAACAACCACTCTATGGGAGAAAGATAGGGCAGTCTATAAAGATTTTCGATCTTGAAAACCTTAGGGGGCCGTTCTGCTGTCTTATAGGGTAGCTAAGATTCAGAATTGACTACATGGCAGTGGTACAGTGGTTAAGTGGTCGCTATGAGTTGGAATCTACAGGACAGCAAGAGGTTTCTTTTTATTTTTGCTTATTCTTCAAGAGTCCTGGTGGGGGCATCTTATTTCTTTATTAAGTGTGCATTTTACTAGGAACTGGGAGGCTAGGGTCAGCCAACCTGGGAGAGGGAGAGAAGGACGGAGGTTCAGTAGCTGGCACGGGTGCTAAATTATTTATCCGGCTTCGTTCTCGAAATCCTCTCAGGGCAGCCCAGAGCCTGGACCAGAAGGCGGAAGAAGCTGGAGAAAAGCAGTCACCGACCACACGTCTGCGCTATGGAGGCCTCACCCCTCGAGGGAGGGGGCAGGAGGCGGGGCCACCGGGCCGAGACGAGACGGAGGCCCACAGCCTGCTGGGGAAAAGCACTGACCTTCGGAACTTGTGAGCGCCTACCGTGGTGAGTCAGGTAGGCCAGTGGGGGGGACAGAGGGAGGCTGGGGGCCCCTGAGTCTTGGACCTCCTCAGTATGATCCACACAGCTCCTAATGAAGCTGAGCACGGCTCTCTTGCATCCCACACCAAGTTACTTTACTTCCAGGCCCCCAAGCTAAATTAGTTCCCACACGCCGTAGGAGCTCAGTTCTTGTGGAATGGACGGGTTAGTGCAGTAGGGGAAAGACAGCAGTACGGCCACTCATAATACATTAGTAAAAATGATCTTGTGTGTTGCAACCTGATGAGGAGAGCAGCATGAGGCCGCACTTGAAAGCACCCCACCCGGAATGCAGGGTACTTGGGACATTAATGCGGGTAGACTGGCTGAGAAGGTGACATTAATCAAAAACTTAAGACTTGAGTAGAGCCTCTGAGGACACTTGGAGAAAAAGTGTTCTGGGCAAAGGGTCAGCAGGGAAGAGGGACTCTGGAAGGTTCGAGAATAGTAAGGCGGAGGGTGCTGATGCAACTGGGGCAAGAAGGACAGACAGGCAAGGTAGTCTTGGAGGAGTCCAGCGGGCAGTCACAGGGGAGGGTGACGGGGTGGATTCTTGCAGTACCCCACAGCCCTGTCAGCGGATTGGAGACCTGTAACATGAAATACCCATTGGAGACTTTGGAAGTTTGGGAATGAATTCCATTCTAATTCATGTGGCTTCTCGACCTTACAAATGTCTCCCCTCCAGAGGCTGCTGTCCTCCTTAAAACAGTAGTATGCCCAGAGGGTTGTGGTGAGGACAAAAGGGAATCAAAATAGTGGTAACATGTTGAAAAGCTTTCCAGCTGCTTACTGAGGTGGGTTCTTGGGGCCCAGGGAAGAGTGGGCCCTTGCCTCCACCCCTCTCCTCCACGGAGACTTGCATCTACATTAACAGTTTGAAGTTGAGGGTTAGGGACACCTGACAGCTAAGTCCCGGCCAGAGCAAATAGTGGGTACACAGGGCAGAAAGAGGAAGCAGCAGCCCAAGTGGGGTGAACAGGTTGATAGAGGTGGTTTGAAGTGTCCAGGGCAGAAAGCAAGGGTTCCATTCCACTCGTAGTGAACACTGAGGAGCAAATTCCAAGCAGGGAAGAGCGGCTGTGATTGACAGCATAGTGGAAGAGGTTCCCCTGACAGCTGGGGGACAGGCAGAAGCAGCACTGCAGCCAGGGGAGGGATGATGGTGTCCTGCCAAAGTGGACCAGGGAAGTTGAGTTTGAAAGACTTGCAAAGTAGGATGAGCTGTATGTGGTGGTTGCCTCCATATAGAGGAAGGGGGTTTCTAAGAGGCTGAGGGGATGCTATGAAGGATGCAAATCCCACTCTGGCCATAGGGACAAGTAGGAGTCCCAGGGGAATAGTTTACATTCAGGGAGCAAGTTGCCTCCCCTCAGCATTGATCCCTAGTTCTGGGCTCAGCCCTATTTCTATAAAACCAAGGTGGGGCTGAATGATATCCCAAGGCCTCTGTCCCCATGGGCCCCACAATGGGGCTGCAGTGTGGACAGAGTTTGTGCTGTGTAATGAGAACCTGTCCAACCCATGGACACTCACTTAACCTAACATTCATTTTCTTCATAAGGATGCGCTGTTTATAGTACAGGCAACAGAGGGCAGAGTATGTCCAAATCTTGGCTGGAATGCATTGAGATCACTCATATTGAGCAATTACTGTGTGCCATGTTAAGCAATCCCTCATGCCAGCTAAGGGCTCACTGGGAGGAGTTTGGGGCATCTCCCAAGCAACTCCTACTGACGCTAACACCCAGCACTGAGCAATCTTCTCATACACAGGTGAAGAGCAGACGTCAGAGCAGCCAGGGCGGGATGGTCAACTCAGTGCACCGAGTGTCACTGGGGGATACGTGGAGCAGGCAAATGAACCCGGACGTAGAGAGTGAGAGGTACCATCAGTCCTTCAATGTGGAACGACTCACCAACATCCTTGATAGAGGTGCCCACAACACTGCGCTCCGGAGGAAAATCGGTAAAATGGGAACGCGGGAATCGAGCACCTGCTTTCTGTCCATTATGCATTTCTTAAGAGAGACCTTCACTAGCAGTGTCTCTTTCAAATAATGTTGCCCGACAGTAAAAGCACCTTTAATAGGTCACTATTCCCTGAGTCCATCTGAAGGATAAGAGCACAACTGCTAACCAAAGTGCACAACTGCTAACCAAAGTAGAGGTTTGAGTAAGTCCACCAACGGCACCCTAGTGGAAAAGTCAGCCATTAAAAATTCTATGGGAAATGGGAAGTGTTGTTAGATTGTTATGAAACATGTATAAATAGTTGAATGGAAAACTAACTTGCTCTGTAAACGCTTACTCAAATCACAAAAAGGAAAAACAAAACCTATGAAATACGGTTCTACTGGGGACCATGCAGGGTTGCAATGAGTCAGAGTTTGTTTGATCACAACTGGTTACTTACTGGTCAGCTGCACAAGACCTAGATGTTGTCCCCGCTGTAAAGTGACAGTAACGTCAGGCTTTCTCTCCAGGTCCATGTGGTAAGTGGTAGGAAGAAAGATCAGGAACCCCACCTAGATCTCTCAATCCTCTGTCATCTCTCCTGGCAGAGAACATCATCCAGAGTAACCCAGACTTCAACCTTCAGGACATTTATTTCATGTCCCAGAATGAACGATATGAGAGTGCCATACGGAGGAAAGTCCACATCCAGAAGCTAGCACAGCAGTTGGGCTGGCAGTTTGATGGTCCTGAAGTAGTCTACATTTACAGGTGCTTATTCCTGGGATAGCCTCACCAGAAACGAATCCCCCTGGGATCACTGTTAGCCTCCCATCCCTACCCCCCTGTTCTATGACCCATTTTTCCCAACAAAGGCAGAACTGGCTGGGAAACCAGGATAGCAGCGTCCTTTCCCTCCACTGTATCCAGGCTGAGGGTTCCCACAGCCTTGTCTCCACCAATCTCTCTCTCCCGACAGAGCTCTTGGTGGAGACGTGGGCTTAAATTTACACATGGTGTTCCTGAAAGCTCTCAGGAGCCTGGGCACTGAGGAGCAGATTGCCAAATGGGAGCCGCTCTGCAGAGATTTCCAGATCATCACAACATACGCTCAGACAGAACTGGGACATGGTGAGTCACTGTTCAAGTTGTGTATGTCACAACTCCAGAAGCTCCATCCACGTCTCGGCCACCATAGATGAGTACATTTAATAAGGAAACTTTCTGGGAGTTGGTAGTCATTGAGAAGGGGGTTTCTGTTTCTAATTTGTATAAATGAGTTGTAGGGGCTAGCAGTAGGTACAAGTCTTTCTTTCAGGAAGCATCTCTTGTCACGGACTGACCATGTGTCCCCCACTGAACCCACATATTTAAGGGGAGAAACACCTGTGAATATAGCTGGCAGCTGATGCCTACTCCATATTGAGCTGGTGCCGGAGTGCCTGGTAAGAAATCACCCTGACCTCATGTCTTACTTCCTCTCCTTGTTCCCAAGGGACATACCTTCAGGGATTGGAGACTGAAGCCTCTTTTGACACAGCCACCCAGGAGTTTGTGATCCACAGCCCCACGCTGACTGCCACCAAGTGGTGGCCTGGAGACCGTGAGTATCTGTCCACCCCCCAGTCCCTTCATTCCAGAACAAGTTAGAAGGCAGTATAATACTGGTATTGATGTCCAACAGACCTCAGATTGATTTCCTCTTCTAGACTTGTCACTTTGTGTATAACAGTTCAACTCCCTGAGCCTCACAGTGTTACTCTGTAAAATAGATGGGTTATTAATCTTATCAGCAAGTGGGAACTTTGAAGTAGATGAGATTGATTGTGGTGGTACACCCGTGGACACATACAGCCTAGTCCCAGGTATCCCCCACAATTCCACGTAGTCTCATCTGAGACGATTAAAATTGTCACCCGCTAGAGCATGGGGCCATGTGATTCAGTCGTTATTAAGAGAACTCTCTCTCCCCACCCCTGTTCCAGCCACCCAGAGGCCCCAACCAGCACCAAACCATGTAGTTCTGCACCTTTCCCTGTGGCCACCAGGTGGCGATCATGCCACACTTTGCTGAGGAGTCCAAACTAAAGCAAGTAGAGAGAGACATGTGAGGTCAGAGAGAAGAATCAGAATTTCAAAACTGTAAAGACATCAGCCCTTGATACCAGGCAGACCAAGGTTCAAATCCCAGCTTTGTCCCCTACAGAGCAGGGATCTTGAGTGTGTCACTGCATTCCCTGAGCCTGTTTCCTTTTCTGGAAATTGACTCACACCTGCAACACCTGACTTTTGATACATGGCAATGAGTTATATTATGAGTAGGTTAATCGTGGAGTGATTCTTACATTTCTTGAGGGGTGAAAAAAAAGACACAGATTTTGCTCATTTCACAGTCCCTTTGATAGCTCATTGACTCGTTTATTTCTTTGGGGTGGTTCCCCCCACTCTGTGATCAGTGCCTTTCAGAGGTCCCAAAGGTGCCCGTTATGGAAGCAATGCACACATCTCCTGCAGTTCTAGACCAGTGTTCTCCCCATGGATCCTGAGGTACCTTCCCAGTGGAAGCAATGCACACATCCTCCTGCAGTTGTAGACCAGTGTTCTCCCCGCGGATCCTGAGGTACCTCCCCAGTGGTTCTGATGCAGAGGTTGTCTCCTGATTTCTCCAGTCAGAAAACTGGGTTGTTGTTGCTGTTACTGAGTGGCATGAAGTCACCTTCAACTCATAGCAATCCTATAGGCCAGAGCAGAATGGCTCCATTGCGTTTCTAAGGCTGTACATCTTTTTGGGACTCCTAGTATGGAGCTCTGGTAGTGTAGTGGTTACGAATTGGGATGCCAACCTCAACATCAGCAGTTCGGAACAGCTTTCCGCGGGAGAAAGATGAGGCGTTCTGCTCCCGTAAAGATTTACAGCCTCGGAAACTTCTGTGCAGGGTCCCTATGAGTCGGAACCGACTCCACGGTACTGAACAACAACAGTATGGTGCTGCAGGTTAAGGTACTGGGATGCAAGGTCAGTGGTTCAAACTCCCCAGCCACTCAGTGGAAAATCTATAGAGAGTGGCATGAGTCAGAACTGACTCCACAGCACTTAGCAATTTCTTTATGGGAGTCTGTTAGCATGTCTGAACCACCAACCTTTCACTTGTCCTCTGGGCACTTAACCATTACGTCATAATGGGTTCTTCAGAAAATTATCCCCATTAAAAACCCACTGCGAGTTGTAACCATGGAAATGAAAATAATAGATGATAGGATGAATATAAAGCTAATGTTCCCATGTAACCGATCACATAATTCACAATAAACATTAAAAATCAAACCCCACTACCACTGAGTCGATTCCAACTCATAGCAACCCTAAAAAGGGTTTTGAGACTATAAATTTGTAAGGAAGCAGAAAGCCTCATCTTTCTCCTGTGGAGCAGCTGGTGGGTTTGAACTATCAACCTTGCAGTTATCAGTCCAGTGCTTATCCTGCAGTACCACCCGGACTCCTTTTTAGAAGCCTGTAGTAGAGCAAGATTCCAAGCCTTCCCAGGTCATTCTGTTTGAGCTATTTCCATTAAATTCAAAGCCTTCGTTCCTGAGGAGTTGTAGCACAGACATTTACCAAACTCGCAGTTCTTCCAGCCACCAAACTACTGTTGTCCCTTCAGCTCAGTGTGTGCTGGAGCCAGCCAGCAGGCTCTCACACGAGAGCCATTTAGATCCTTCCAGTCATTTCCAATGGTAACAGAAAGGCCTCTCATCTACCTCTCAGCCCCTTGCTCCCCTGGATGCTACCTCCCCACAGTATACCCCACACTTAGAGCCAGTCCTCAAGCTTCTGAGCACACTGTCTTGCACACCCTTCCCTGTGAAGCTCCCCAGGAAATTTCCACCCCCTCCCAATGCCACCATGCTGGTCTTCCTGCCCCACACAGATCCACGGTCGCAGTGGGCTGTCTGAACTGTAGACCCAGCCTTGTGCACCAGGGATCACACTGGGCTTCATCTCTTGCCTGCAGTGGGACGGACAGCCACCCATGCGCTGGTCCTGGCCCAGCTGATCTGCTCGGGAGCCCGGCAGGGCATGCATGCCTTTATTGTGCCCATCCGGAGCCTCCAGGACCACACCCCACTGCCAGGTAAGCTTTACACACTCCCTCAGGAGTACCCCAGTAGGCCTCCCAGAAGCCCAGCACAATTCCTCTTGAGTGGGGTGTGGGGGGAGCAGTTGGGCATATAGAGTGCCAATGCATCACTGACCCTGAGCAAGATTCAACACTAGTCTATGCTGCGCCTCCTCACCTCCAAAGCAGGCAGCTGGACGTTTGGGTGAGCTGCAGAAGGTATGCAGTACCTGCTACACAGCAAGCACTCAACTAACTGATAGATGGTCCCATCTCCCGCACCTAGGCATCACTGTTGGAGACATTGGACCCAAGATGGACTTTGAACATTCAGACAATGGCTTCCTGAGACTAGACCATGTGCGGATACCCAAGGAGAACATGCTGAATCGGTTTGCACAGGTGGGGGCACCCAGACTAGGAGTTATGTAACTTCAGACAAGTCATTACCCTTCTCTGGGCCTCACAGTTTTCATGTATGAACAGGAGAGCAATCATTTGTTCCCGTTCAACCTGTGTGGTAGCAAGGCAACCCAAAGAGAGGAGAGATGAGACTTAGTGTGATACATACAAGATTTCACCTCAGTGAACACCACTAATCATGGATGCCAGCTGAGGAGCTAGAGAAGTTTCTGGAGGTTTCCTGCTTTGCCAGGCATTGACTCTTCAGCTGTGGGCTCTTGGGAGACTTTGTCTGCTACTGCAGAACAGTTTGAGAAGTGGGGGGCAGGCTCAGACTCAGCTCCTGTCCTTGGCCCACACAGATTTTACCAGATGGCACCTACGTCAAGCGCGGAACAGTACAGAGCAATTACCTTTCCATGGTGGTGGTACGAGTGGGACTGCTGTTGGACGAGGTCATACCCCTGCTGCAGAAGGCTTGTGTCATCGCCATGCGCTACTCGGTCATACGCCGCCAGTCCCGGCTTCAGCCCAGGCAAGGGGTTCCCAGAGGCTGACCACAGCAGGCATAGCTCCCTCTCAGTCCCCTGCTCCCTGCCCCTGACACCGTCCCAGGTTACAGAGAAAATGCACACACACAGGATGCTCAGTTACATTGGAAAACAATGGCCACACACCACTGAAGACAACATACAATTAAGGGTTTTATTAGGGCAGTTCACAGGATCAGAAAATGCTCAGGACCACACTCCACTATAAGCCTTAGGCTGAGGGCACACCGACCGCTCTAGTTTCCCCACTGAAGTCCCTGTTTTACTTGCTGTGTGGGCGGGGAAGTCCTGGGCTCTGGTTCTTTGTACTGTTGCTGCAGTTCCTCTGCCACTTCTTTGGTGTCAGAGCTTTCCTTCTCTGGGTCGGGGAGGCTCAATGCACAAGATCTTGAGGTGCAAATATTGTGCTCCACTCTTGGCTCTCTACTTGATGGTGGTGAGATCCCCTCTCCTGCTTCTCAGATAACCACAGCTGAATCATGTCATCTTGTTAGCATCTTCTCCCATCTTCTCTTTCAGACCAGTCAGGAAAAAAATCGCTTGGTAGGAGTTACAAAGGCTAAGGTAACAACAATATGTTGTACCACAAGCTGTCCACTGGCTCTTCTTGCCATTAGAAGAGACAAGCATGTACACCAGTATAAAATGTCTTTATTCACTTGGTTGGGTTTTGGTCTATTCAGCTCTAGTCATTCATCCTTACAAGGTCAAGTGGAAATCAGCTGCACTTCAGAGCAGCCGGCCCCTTGCCCCTCTGTCTCTTAGCCCTAGCCCCTAAGGGCTGGGTTAGTGCCCATGGGCTCAGGAGTCCACACAACTCCCTAAACTTCAGACCAGACAGTCCTTCCTCTTCTCTTTTGCTCAACCCTTATCTGTACTGCTGCATCCTTCCCCACTTCCACTCGGACCCAGATGGTTACCAAGCTGTGTACTCAACTCCCTCCCTCAAACCTAGAATGGGGGATTTTCTCTGATGAGAACAGACTTTTCTTGCTTTGATGCATCCACTGGCAAACTATTATTTGAAATTCAAAATGCCACTTACTTTTCTTTCTGCAGATCTTTCTTCAGGTAAATCGCCTGTTTTCTCAGTAGGTCTGGGTTTCTACCTACGCTTCCTACTCAAATATAAGCTAAAGGTGGGCTTACAAGCTTTCTGTAATCAAGATACCCAATACCCAGTCCCCTCGCAAGTGTGCATGCAGCCATTGGCCTCCGGTTGTGGATGAAGTAGGCCCTAGACCCCTGTCAGTCATCTTGCTTCACCTACCAGGCTTTTGCCCTAATTAATTACTCCAATAACAGCTTTTCTTCCTTCAGCTGCAGCAAAACATCTCTTAACATTTCTTTCAGCTTTACAGACAGCAGTAAGCAAACACTATTTAAGAATCAAAAGCTTAACTTCCCATGTCCTTTCATTCTTTCTTTTATAAAAACCCCATACTTACATGAGTCTGGAGCCACTGCAACAACAAACCCCATTTCTGACACCAAATTGCAAAATAAGTGTGGCTCCTCCGGGCTGAACGCAATGTCCTGCAAGGGCATCTGAGCTGTGAAAAGTCAGTGGTTCAAATCTTCAAGAGTGCACATCCAGAAAGATGGCAATATGTATATAGACTGTCATTTTGTAAACCTCTCTCCATAAAGGGGAGCAAGCATGAATTTCTGCAGGGAAATGTGGGGATGTTCATGGTAGATGGGATAAAGAAAGACTTGTTGATAGATAAAACTTGAACTGACATGAGACTGTTATTTCCCGCAGTGACCCAGAGGCAAAAATCCTGGATTACCAGACTCAGCAGCAAAAACTCTTTCCTCAGCTGGCCATGGCCTATGCTTTTCATTTCCGGGCAGTCAGTCTGTTGGAGTTCTTCGAGAACGCGTACAATACCATTCTGAAGGGAGACTTCAGCCTCCTGCCTGAGGTAATGTCTATCTGCTGAGGGCCAGCCGCTGCAGGACGCAGCCCCAACCCAGGTCCTATGGAACCCTCCCCACCTCCCATCCTCACCTTCATCCCCAGGGTACCTGGCGTGAACTGCACCCAGAAAGCTCCAAAAGCATTAGTGAAAATAGTCCACGTTTCATAAAACCAAAACCTGCTTAGAACTTATTAGCTGGCACAGTGTGACCTGCCCTATCTGAGCATGAATCCGTTTTGCTGCAGACAGATTGTTTGATGCTTCTACCTCCCCAGATCCCACTGAAGGTCTCTGGTATTATGCACCTGACATGACCTCTTTCCCTTTCTAAAATTCAAAGATTGTTCTGATTCCAAAATAGATCTTGTCCCAGAGGTCTCAGATCAAGGACTGTATACTCAAATTCAGACTGGACTGAGCCCTGTGCCGCACAAGCACTGCTTCACTGCATCCTAACATACATGGTGTGTCTACAGCACCAGTTATTATCCTCGGTTTACAGATGAGAAAACTTAAGCACAGTTTAAGGAGCGTGTTGTTCCTTCCTAAAAACCTGAAAGCTGCTCCTACAACCATGGGTTGTGGGTAAATACCCCTCCTCCAAATTCTCTAATCAGAAAAATCTTTAATTCTGGAGGGTGAGGACCACTCCCGGCATCCATCTACCTGAGACCCAACAGACACACAGACTCTTACTGCTTCACATCCTAATGTGTCTCTGAGCCTCTACAGTCTCACTGGTATGTGAGCTGAGGAAACAGTTTTTACTTCAGAGTTGTGCTCAACATAAAGTAGGTACTAGGCAAGTGTTAAGCACAGGTGTTAGTAGAGAACACCCTCACAGCACTTGGCCCCCCGACAACCTACCATCCTTCTGTTTGCACAGCTCCATGCACTGAGTGCAGGTCTGAAGGCCATGGTATCGGAGTCCTGTACCCAGGGGGCTGAGGTGTGCCGCAGGGCCTGTGGAGGACATGGCTTCTCGAAGCTGAGCGGCCTGCCGTCCGTGCTCACCAGGGTGACGGCATCTTGTACCTATGAAGGCGAGAACACTGTACTCTACCTGCAGACGGCCAGGTGAGGCACCAACTGATACTCGGGGACCCATTCAGCTTCTACCTGGGTTGAGTCTCTGTCTGATGCCCACAAAGGGAGCAGACGTTAGGGGTCGTTGTTCTGGGACTGGCCAACTGTAGTGTGTCTCAGGCCATCCACTTCTTGCCCAGCCAGAGCACCTCCCCTTGGCACCTAGTCAACAGCAGAATCTCTGCTTCCAGCTGGCTCCACTTTAGTCCTTTCTTCAAAGGCAGCCAGAGAGGTCTTTCCAAAGCTTAGAGAAGAAAAAGTTACACTGCACACTGACCTATGAGGTCCTTAACCACCTGACTGCTGCCTCCCTCTACCCTGCTCTCAACTTTCTGCCTCTGCTTACCTCTTCCAGCCACACGTCTTTTTCCCTCATTTCATGGCATTTGCACGTGCTCTTCATTCCACCTGAAACTCCTCTCCCCTAAGTTGGTGTACTACTGGCTCCTTCTCAATGTTCAGGTCTCAGCTAAAATAACACCTCCTCAGAGATGCCCTCCCTGACCACTCCATCTAAGCATAGCACTACCCCAACATTCCTTTATCCCCCCCCCACTCCCCCCCCACACACACTTCTAGACAAGTAGCTCTGTGAAAACAAGACATCAGCCTTGCACACTGCAGTGCTCCACACTTAGCCCAGGGCTGGTTCACAGACTCCAGCCTGAGAGGCAACAGGAAGGGCTGGCTTAGCTTCTTCCTAACAGTTGCTTTCTTCTCATCCCACTTCTGTCTGTGGGTCTCACAGTCCACAGGTCTTCATTTACTGGGAACTATACCAAGCACTTCTGAGTCCTAGTGTGATACTGCAGGGTAACCATCGGACCGCAAGGCTGATGTATTTGAACTGCAATATTGTACGTTCAAATCCACCAGCACTTGACAAATACTGTCTCATGAGGGCTCATAAACTCCCTACCAGGTGAGTATCACTGTCCGCATTTAGACATGGAGACGGGCTTAGAGGGGCCATGTCTAGGCGTCACACAGGTCTAGGCAGAGCCCGCCTGTAACCACAGGTGTACCATAAGGAGGAAGCTAAGTCACCTGGAATCTTCCCCTCCTATTAGCATTTTCTCATCTATCCTTTTGACTTTTTTCTGGCTGAGTAAATTTCACTTCTGTGTTGTCACTGTACAATTTATCCTAAATCTCCAAATCAGAAAATCCGAACTGACGAGAAAAGCTGTTTGCTCGGATCTCATCAGAGCTTATGTTCAGGATCTGAGTTTCGGCCCTGGCTCGGCAGCCCCATTTCACTGTGGGAGAAACTGTAGCCTCCCCAGTCCTGAACGAGGCCACTGGGCTGAAGGCCTGGGGCCCTAATTCTCCCACAGGGAGGGAGTGAGTACCTCTGGGAAAAGGGGAGCTGGGCTGTCTGAGAGCCCCCACGTGTCTCACCTGCTTCTCCCACCCCCTTCTCCAGGTTCCTGGTGAGTAACTGTCTGCAGGCCCAGATGTCCCCCAGCTCCACAGCACAGAGGTCACTACCTCAATCTGTCATGTACCTCTATGCACCTGTCCTGGCAAGGTGTCCAGCCCAAAAAGCAGCTGACTTTCTGCACCCAGAGCTCTACACTGATGCCTGGGCCCACGCAGCAGCCAGGTGAGCCGCCACTCAGCAACCAGCCATGCTACCGAAAGACAGCACCATCCCTCACTGGGACCTTGGGTTTGGTAGGATAGGCCTTCATAGATATGCTTCTAAAGACCACCACCACCCCTTGCCTCTCTGGTCATCCCAGTCAAGGACCACTGTAATTTCCCTATCCTACCTATGGTGAGAGAAGGACATCTTCAAAATCTTTAGGATTCTGTGGGTATTTGCAACGAGGCATACTTCAGAAATATTGGCAGGTTCCATTCCAGATCACTGCAATAAACTGAGTCACAGATATGTTTTAGTTTCTCGGTGCACGTAAAAAAAAGTGTGTAGTAGCATTATGAAAAAGTTTGAAATACCAATACACTTGCTCACTGCAAGATTGCTGCTGCAAACTTTCAATTTGTAAAAAAATCAGTATCTGTGACATGCAAGAAACTGCAGTGCAGTGAAAGGAGGGATGCCTGGCGAGCAAATGTACCCATATATAAACACTGTGGATGTGAGGGTTTCTAAGTACCCATAAAAGTAATACTCGTATGTTTGAAATATCCCACAATCTAATATTTCAAAAACTAAGACTATACCAAGTTAAACAGGCTGGAGAGAACACAGACAAGAGCTCAAACTCATCTCAATCCATTCTGTCAGTTAGCAATATTGACAGGTACCTACTGTCCAAACAAGCAGTGACAGGGAGAAAACAGAGGTATTGAACAGTCACCAACATGGAAGTTGACGGGGATATAATTGATTAAAAGGAAAACTTTTGAAGCCCTCTCCAAAAATTAAGAAAAAAAGAAAAAGATTTTCAGTATTTAATGAGAGGTCTTCTTATGACTACCTGTAGTCCTCGGAATAGGTAGTCATTATTTCAGGATCACAAACAGCCTGGTAGACATTCATTTAGTCCACAAATATTTATTAGTGTCTAGAATATGCCCTGGTGTGGTGCTGTGGGGTTAATGCGCCAGACTGCAAAACCATGTGAACAGCAAGATCAGTGGTTCAAGCTCACCAGCTGCTCCTCGGAAACCCTATACAGGGTCGCTATGGGTCGTAACCAACTTGATGGCACTTAACAATAACAAAATATGCCAGACAATATTCTAGGCACTAAGGATCAATCAGTAATACAATCCCAGTTGGTTTTATGATTGAACTGGTAGAAATTCCAGCCCTCACAAAAGCTCACGCTGTAGTTGGGGGAGATGGGGTGGGAGAATTAAGATTGCTCAGGGTAACTAAGAGTCCTGATGTGGCTCTGAAGTATATAAGCACTTGACTACTAACCACAAGGTTGGCATTTCAAACCCACCACCTGCTCCTCAGAAACCCTATACAGGGTCGCTATGAGTCGGAACTGACTCAATGGCACTTCCCAGCATGGTAAGTCAGGAGCCTGGGTAGTGTAATGGGTTACAAGTTGGGCTGCCAATAGTGAGGTCAGAAGTTTGACTGTGTTTAGAACTCAATGTGACCTTCTGCCTATCTATTCCCTGACCAAACAAAATAAATTTGCTTAATAAACAGTTTGCTTTATGTACAAATTTCAAGGGTCATGTGTGGTTGGATATTGAGTAGAAAGTAAAGGTTAAGAAGATGAATAATAATTGATTTGGTGGTTTGAGAGAAAAGGTTGGTGGTTTCCTTTTTCATAAAGGTGCCTTGAGTACAACTTGGAGCAGCCGAGCCAGAGATTAAGAACAGGTCCATATCCTGCTTTATCCTTACTAGGAGTGTGATGACCCTGGAGAATTATTTCACCTCTTAGGGATTAACTAGGATCTGCCCATTATAAATTGGGAGTGGCTGCCTTACTAAGCTGGCACTGTGGGATAAGCATTGGACTATTAGCCCTGGACAGCCAAGAATTAGAGTAGGCTTGATTTTGGTTTACCCTAATGAGGGTCTTGGGATAGAGAGAAGAGATGCCAAGCATTTAGCTTTAGAGCATATACCAGGTCAATAAATGGGAATGACTTCTACTTCTGAGGGACCACAAGCCACCTGAGAACAACCTCATTTTCAGTCTCCTTTTTTCCCTGTGGTCTTCAGGCTCACAAAGGACTCAGTGCATCATTTACAGACCCTGACACAATCCGGCGTTGACAAGCACGAGGCATGGAACCAGACCTCTGTCCTACTTGTCCAGGCTGCCAAGGTGAGCTGCCCATCCATGTTGGCTCAACTGAAAGGACCCACCTAGTTTTCCCAGCAGCTACAGCACAGGGCAAACCCCAGCTCAGTGGTTGCCCTCATTTCACATCTAAGGTTTTTAGTCCAGGGTATTTTAATTAAAGAACTTAAGTCCAGAAAATCTGGCTGGCACCTTTTAGGGAAAAACGTCATGAGACGGTGGTTGTTCAAATATTTCCTCCCAGACAGAAAAGCAGGTCAAGTCCTCCTCAGCCCCACAGGCAATCCCTGTAGTTCTGTACTTCACACAGTCAGTCAGCAAATACTTGAGCACTCATTCCACACCAGATGCTGAGCTGGGCACAGCAAGCCCACTGCCCATACACAGTTACAGTCTACGAAGTACCATGATGAGGCAATTCAGGCTGCAATGGGATCCCAAGGAGTCCTGCTATGGTGCTGTAGGATAAGCATTCAACCACTAGGTCAGCAGGTCAGACTCACCAGCTGCGTCTGGGAACCCTATACAGGGTTGCTATGGGTTGGAACCAGCTTGACAGCACTTAACAACAACAACAGGATTCTAAACTCTGCACTCAGACATAATAATTGTGAGGCTGGTGCAGAGTGGGGCAGTGTTTCGCTCTATTGTACACAGAGTCGCTGTGAGTCGGAAACGACTTGACAGCACTTGACAATAACATGGGCTGCAGGTCCAATCCTTACCTGATCATGGAGACAGTGCGGGACCAGGCAGCATCTTGCTCCACTGTGCCGGTGGTCATTAAGTTGGGGGCCAACTCTGTATAGCTGACAACAAAGACGTAGGATCTCAGAGCAGGCGCATCTCAAGGAGTCAAAAAGGCTTCTCAGAAGAAGTGGCCAGTAAGCTAAGACTCTGTGGATGAACTGAAGTTGTTAGGGAACAGGGTGGGGGCTGGCGCTATAGAGGGAAAGGTTTCCAGGCCATGACAACAGTACGTGCAAAAGGAAGAAACGGCACAGTGCCTTGGAGGACTTCAAAGTCTGCCCAAGCAAAACCTAAAAAGGGGCTGAGTGAAAGGAGAGGAGGGAAGGTGAGGGAGAAAGATGAGGTACATAGGCAGCGCCTAGGGCTTTGGGCGCACCACAGAAGGGGAGGTCTTGTTCTCAGCCAGAGAGTGAAATGATCAATTTCCATTCTAGAAGGATCCCTGCTGGTTGTTGGAGCAGAAATGGACCACAAGCTGGAGGCCAGTTAGGAGGCAGCAACCATGGTTTAGTCTGGGGATGGTGGAAAGAAAGGAGGTAGGGGGTAGTTAAGCAGAGGGGAGAGGAATAGAGGTGAGAATGAATCCCAAAGTCATATTAGGCAGCTGGGGTTCCAGTCCTGCCACCAGCTCTAAGACCAAGGTGAGTACCCTCTCTTGGCCTCAGGACCAGAAAACAGCAGCCTTCAAACAGCACAAAGCAGGGTGAAGGACTCCTGGAGGAGTCATCACAGGGCAGGCTGGTGGAGCAGGAGCGCCACCTGGTGTCCAGGTACCACCACCACAAGCGCTGGTGCTGGTATTAACTCTATGGCTCTCAGCTCTGCTCTAAATCTATCACCAGTGCAGGGAGGGTTAGCCACAGCTGTGCTCGCTCCAAAATAGAAGTCTCCCATTATTCAGCTATTTTACAGACCTGGGCCCTGACTACATTGCTTCCCAGTGTTACTTCATTTAATACGCACAACTATGTGAGAGAAACAACTCACCCTAGGCTACATTCTGGTCCCACAGTGTGTAACATGCTGTGGGACCTCAGACAGCCCCTTCCCCTCTGGGTTTTAACATCTCTTGTCTGTGAACACCAGGCATGGGTGAGCCCTCTGGCTGTGAAAGGCTCTGGTCCTGTCATCTCAGACATGGCTGGCCTAGGGTTGCTGCCTGTTCTGACACGAGCTGATGCAAGCTACTTGTTGTAGTCCAGTCTCAAATATGCTCTGGTGGCTCTGACTGCATCTCAGTACCTCAGTCTCCTCATATGCAAGATGGGACTAAGTTCCTACTGTATAGGATTAGGGAGCCGCACTGTACATTCAGCATTGGTCTGCTAAACTCACGGCCTAGTGGTTCAATCCCAGCAGCAGGAGAAAGATGTGGCAGCCTGCATCCATAAAGATGTACGGCCTCGGAAACCCTGGAGCAGTTCTACTCTGTCCTATCAGGCTGCTGTGAATCAGAATCAACTCCATAGCACTGGGTGTGGTTTGGTAAGCAAACCAGTGAGTGAGCCAGCAAACTAGCCCAGTGAAGAAGGGGCGCTTAACTGACTAGAAGCCCTGCCGGCTCCCCTACCACCACCCAGAATTAGGTGGGAGGCAAGAATTACGCCAAGACATAAACCCAGAAACAATTCCCAGTTTTCCTCTAAAGTGCTCTGTGCTCACAGTGTGTGTGGGTATAAGGGTCCAGCTCAGCCTTTCCTGGCAACACAGAGGCCACCTCCATTGTCTGCCCCTCATGCAGATCTCTGTCACCTCTCCCGCTTCAGCCCAGGGCCGTGAGCCTCCAAGGGCACAGCTCTCTGGCTTTACAGAGGAAGCAGGGCCAGCAGCACAAGCCTGCCCTTCTTGTACCACAGACACACTAACAAACCAGCCCAGCTATGAGGACACCGGCTCCTGGTTAGCACCTGAGTCAAGTCTCCCTGCGGAAAGTAGACTCTGTCTAGGTGAGAAGCCTGATCTGGTAGATCACTGCCCTGTTTAAAAGACTCTGGGGACTCTCTGACCCCTACAAAATAGAGAGAAAAAAAAACATGTCAAAGAAAAAAAAAGCCACACTATTCAAGGCCCTTCATTGACCTGGGCCCCGGCTTCCATTTCACCCTACCTCCACATGTCCCTCATTAAAGTCCTTGCAGCTTCCTAAAGATAAAGCCCTGAGCACAGTACCACTGACCTGGAATGTACTGTGCTCCTTCTTGGTCCAGTCAGTGAACTCCTTTGAATCCCCAAGACACTCAGCCTTGCTACGTAAAATCACCACCAGCAGCATGGGTATCACCAGAGAGCTTGTTAGAAATGCTGGAATCTATATGGTGATAACATTCGTGAATTATCCATACACATAAAAAAACTTGAGAAGCACTGCTTTACATTTTCTCATTCCTCAATCCTTCATGGAACTCTAATAAAATAGTGTACATAAGGAGATATTCAAAATTTTCGCTTGATGCCCCTGTGCTACTTATTAATCAGGCCTTGTGAAGTGGGATCCTGCTATAGTGTGGGGAGAACCAGAGGGTCCCACCCAGGGGAGCAGCCCAGATGGTGGAGGGGTCACTCACCTGTAAAAGGCCATGGTCACTTAAGCTGTTGTATGCCGTCAATTCCAACTCTTAGTAACCTTATGCCCAAGTACTTATGCCAAAGTACTATATTAACAATATGAACTACTTCTGAATATTTAGTCACTGAAAACCTTATGAATAGCAGGGAAACACTGTCAGATATAGTGCCAGAAAATGAATCCCTCAGGTTAGAAGGCACTCAAAATGCGACTGGGGAAGAGCTGCCTCCTCAAAGTAGAGCTGACTGTGATGGAGTAAAGCCCGTGGTAGAAAAGCCCACAGGGGCACAACTCAAAATGAAGAGAAACAGCTGTAAACACCATTGAAAATCAGAACGTGGAATGTATAGAGTATGAATCAGGGAAAACTGTCAAAAATGAAATGGAACGCATAAACATCAATACCTTAGATGTTGTTGTTGGTGTTAAGTGCCATCGAGTCAGTTTCGACCCATAGCGACCCTGTATAGGGTTTCCGAGGAGCAGATAGTGAGCTTGAACTGCCAACCTTGCAGTTCAAATGGCTTTTCAGTCTCGTGCATTAACCCACAGCGCCACACCAGGGCTCCATCTTATGCATTAGATGGATTGGGCATTTTGGATCTGATAACCACATGGTTTACTACGCCGGAAACGACAAATTGAATAGGAATGGTGTTGCATTCATTGTCAAAAAGAACATATCCAGATCAGTCATGAGGTACAACGCTGTCTGTGATAGAATAATATCCATGTGCCTACAGAGAAGCCCAGTTAATACCACTATTATGCAAATTTACGCACCAACCACTAAAGCCAGTGAGGGTAAAAATAGAAGAATTCTACCAACTTCTTCAATCTGAAATTGATCAAACATGCAATCAAGATGTATTGCTCATTACTGGTGATTGGAATGCAAAGGTTGGGAGCAAAGAGAAAGGATCAGTAGTTGGAAAATATGGCCTTGGTGATAGAAATGGTGCTGGAGAATACATGCTAGAATTCTGCAAAATCAATGATTTGTTCATTTCAAATACCTTCTTTAGACAGCATAAGAGAGGATTATATTCATGGACCTCGCTAGATGGAATAAATAGAAATGAAAGTGACTAGATCTGCGGAAAGAGACAAAGGAAAAGCTCCTCAAAACAAGGCCAGGGGCAGACTGTGGAACAGATCATCAATTACTCATATGCAAATTCAAACTGAAGCTGAAGAAAATGAAAACAAGTCCACAAGAGCCAAAATATAATCTTGAATATATCCTACCTGAATTTAGAGATCATCTGAAAAACAGATTTGCTACATTAAACACTAAAGACAGAAGACCAGAAGCATTGTGGGATGACATCAAAAATATCATACATGAAGAAAGCAAAAAATCATTGAGAAGACAAGAAAGAAGGAAAAGTCAAAATGGATGTCAGAAGAGACACTGAAACTTGCTCTCTAGCATAGAGATGCTAAAGCAAATGGAAGACATGAGGAGGTCCAAGAGCTGAAGAGAAAATTTCAAAGATCAGCTCAAGAAGATAAAGCCAAATATTTCAACAAAATGTGCAAAGATCTGGAATCAGAAAACCAAAAAAGGGCTGGGGGAACTGAAGAAAAAATTCAAGCCTCGACTTTTGTTACAAGAGAAGATGGAAGAAATACAGAGTCACTGTACCAAAAGGAAATGGTTAATGTTCAGCTGTTTCAAGAGGTAGCATGTAATCAAGAGGCAATGATAATGAAGGAGGAAGTCCAAGGTGTATTGAAGGAATTGGCAAAGAACAAGATACCAGGAATTGATGGAATAAAAATGAAATCTTTCAAGAAAGTGAGACAGCACAGGAGGCACTCACTCATCTATGCCAAGAAATTTGGAAGACAACTATCTGGCAAACTGATTGGAAGAGATCCGTATTTGTGCCCACTCCAAAGACAGGCGGACAATGTCTTTGATATCCCATGCGAGTAAAGTTTTGCTAAAGGTTAATACAGAAACGGCTACAATCATACATTGACAGAGAATTTCCAGAGATTCAAGCCGGATTCAGAAGAGGCTGTGGAATGAGGGATCTCATTACTGATGTCCGATGGAGCTTGGCTGAAAGCAGAGAATATCAGCAAGATGTTTACCTGTGCTTTACTGATTATGCGAAGGCCTTCAATTGTGTGGATCATGACAAGCTATGGACAACATTGTGAAGTATTGAGTATTTTGGAACACTTACTTGTGCTCATGAGGAATCTTTACCTGGAACAAGAAGAAGCAGTTGTTTGAACAGAACATGCGAACACTGAATGGTTTAAAATAAACAAAGGTGTGCAACAAGGTTGTATTCTTTCACCATACTTATTCCACCTGTATGCTGAGCAAATAATCTGAGAAACTGGGTTCTATGAAGAAAAACATGGCATCAGGACTGGAGGAAGACTCATTAACAACCTGTGATATGCCGATGATACAACCTTGCTTGCTGAAAGTGAAGAGGACTTAAAACATTTACATCTCAATGTAAAGAAATAAAAAATCCTCACCACTAGACCAATCAACAACATTCTTATCAACGGAGAAAAGACTGAAGTTGTCAAGGACTTCATTCTTCTTGGATCAACTATCAACACTCACGGAAGCAGCAGTCAAGAAATCAAACGACATATTGCATTAGGCAAACTGCTGCACAAGACCTTTTAAAGTGTTGAAGAGCAAGCATGTCAGCTTGAGGACTAAGGTGCGCCTGACCCAAGCCATGGTATTTTCAATAACCTCATAAGCATGTGAAAGCTGGACAGTGAATAAGGAAGACTGTAGAAGAACTGATGCTTTTGAGTTACGGTGTTGGAGGAGAGTATTGAAAGTGCCATTGACTGCCAAAAGAACCAATAGATCCGTTTTGGAAGAAGTGCAGCCAGAGTGCTCCTAGGAGGCCAAGATGACCAAACTTTGTCTCTCATACTTCGGACATATTGTCAGGAGGGACCAGTCACTGGAGAAGGATACCATGTTTAGTAAGAGGAAGACCCCCAACAAGATGAACTGGCCAAGTGGCAGCATCAATGGACTCATGCGTGACAACAATATTGAGGTTAGCCCAGGATCGGACAGTGTTTCGTTCTGCTGTGCATAAGGCCGCTATGGGTCATTACTGACTCAATGGCACCTTAACAACAAACTTAACAAAGTTACTACTGTATATGGGCTAAATACAACACTGATTACTTCAAAGGGGTTAAACTCTAGCTGCGATAAATTTGTGTATGCATCTTGAACCCCTACTTTATGTCATGAAACACACACACTGCCCTGAATATGGTATAAAAAAATACCTATTTTTATGACAAAAGTACCCTCTTCCTGGCCAGATCTCCAATAATATTCCTGTACTCTTTCTTGCCACTTTTAAATCTGGTTGAAACTGCTCTGAGCTAAATAGATAACCAAGGACCAAATTCCAAGCCCACCAGCTTTCAGCACACACTCACACAGCATCAAAACGGCTCATTAGATTCAGTGAACAAGGAGTGAGCTCATTCCAGCCAATCTTGCCAATTTCTAGGTTGAATTCCAGAGTCACAAATCAGAAAGGAAAAGCTAATTGATCTTTATGTCTTTGTAGGCACACTGCTACTATGTCACTGTGAAGAGTTTTACACAGGTTCTGGAGGAACTGAAAAATGAGCCAGCGATTCAACAGGTGCTAAAGCGTCTCTGTGACCTCTATGCCTTACATGGCATCTTGACCAACATGGGTGACTTTCTCCACGACAGCTTCCTGTCTGGAGCCCAAGCAGACATGGTGAGAACAGCCTACCTGGACCTCCTCAGCCTGATCCGGTGAGTGGCTATTCCTCCAAACCATGTTAGCCTTCAGACAGTAACCCTAGATCCATTGTGCTCAGGGCACTTCAAACCCCTAAACTTGAGGCTCTAAGGCCTGGCTAAAGAGGAGTCTGGCAAAAGCAGCAACAGCCCAGGTGAGGTTTACAACTAGAATTATACAAGCATGAAGCATTGTTGTTAAGTACCATCTAGTAAAAAAGACTGTAAATCTTTGCGGGAGTCCAAAGTTTCATCTTTTTCCCAAGGAACAGTTGGTGAGTTCAAACTGCTTACTTTGTGGCTTGAAGTCCAGTGCTTATCCTACAGAGCTACCACACTCGCACATAAAACTACTCAGCTGCAAAATTAGATTGAACTGCAAGGTTGGCAGTTTAAATCCACCAGCTGCTCCTCAGAAACCCTAGACAGGGACACTGAGTTGGAACCAACTCCATGACACTAACAAGGAACAAATTATCTAAAAAATGAAACAAGAATAAATTATCTCGTTACCTCAAACAAACTCTTGACTGTTGTCACAGATATAGGACTGGTATCTAAGAAATACGAATAAAATGAAGCATACTGCATCATGATGATAACATTCTTAATCATAGCTAATAGTTAAGACACACTCACTTGCTGTGTGCCAGGCACTGCCAAAAGCTTTTACATACATCATCTCAGTTAATCCTTACAGCCCTTTGAAGTTGGTGCCATTAATCACCCCATTTTAACAAACAGGAAATCCAGCCTTAAGGGAGTTAACTCACTAAGCCATGGTTACATAATGCATCAGAGGTAAAATATCAGGTCTTTCTGATCCCCAAGAATGCAGTCTTCGCCTATACATTAAGGTTAAGGTTTGTTGTTACGTGCCATCAAGTCAGTTCCAACCCATAGTGATCCTATGTAGAGTTTCTGAGGAATGGCTGGTGAGCTTGAACCGCCAACTTTGCTGTTCAAATTGACTTTGGAGTCCAGCACATTAGCCCACAATGCCACACCAGGACTCCAAAGTTAAGGTTTGGGGTATTTTAAACACATCCCTGCCTTTGTTGAATATGCTTAAGGAAACTCTTGCCAAGTTTGGTGGTGGTGGTGTACCCTGGAGTCAGCTCTGACTCATAGTGACCTTTTCTCACTGTCAAGACATAACTAAAAACTACAATTTGTACATTGATTCGTAAAATAATATAGTTTATGAATGCAATTCAATTTAAGGTCATAAAATATTTATGCAATGCTTTTATACTGTTATACACAGCCTAAGTGATTACTTTCAAAACATAACAAAACCAAATTCCTATGTGAACAGGATATTAGAGAAAACCAAAGTTAAAACAACACTAATCATAAGACTGAGACTCCACTGGGCAGAAACCATGACTTCTGATGTGTATATGTGCAACTTTTCCCTAGATGTTCCAATAGCATATAGTATCAACAAGAGTAAGAGAACAAAAAGGGAAAGAATTGAAATTTTTTTTCAAATAAGATTTTTGTGATGGCCAGATCATGCTCCATACCATTTAGGACTGGAAAGTTGGTTAAGTACTTAACAGTAAATGTTCCATCAAATCACCAGAAATTACCAAAAACACACTTGATAAAATGCTTTCAACTTGCCCTGAGAAAAAGAATTCCTGGAGTGGTGCTGTAGAATAAGCATTGGACTGCTAACTGCTCCTTGGAAAACCTGTATGAAATAGCTATGAGTTGGAACCAACTCGAGGGCACTTGACATCATTATGTTGTTTTTGTTGTTGTAACAAGTCGGTACCGACTCATAGCTACCTTATGCACAGCAGAACGAAACACTGCCAGACCCTGGGCCAACTTCTCTACTGTTGCCACACTTGAGCCCATTGATGCTGCCACTTGGCCAATCCATCTCATTGGAAGTCTCCCGCTTTGTCTCTGACCCTCCACCTTACCAAACATGATATCCTTCTCCAGCAACTGGTCTGTCAGTTTGTCGTACTGTGATGGCTTGTGAGCTTCTGTGATTCTGAAAGCTATGCCATCAGTATTTTAAATACCAGCAAGGTCACCCATGGTAGACAGGTTTCAGATAAGCTTCCAGATGAAAACAGACTAGGAAGAAGGAGTGACGAACTACTTCCAAATATGTAGTCACTGAAAAATTTATGAATAGCAGAGAAACACTGTCAGATATAGTGCCGGAAAATGAGCCCCTCAGGTTGGAAGTCACTCAAAATACGACCGGAGAAGAGCTGCCTCCTCAAAGTAGAGTTGACTATGATGACGCAAATGGAGTAAAGGCCATGGGAGAAAAGTCCGCGGGACCTTCATTTGCTGATGGGGCACAACTCAAAATGAAGAGAAACAACTGTAAACATCCATTGAAAATCAGAACATCATTATGGAAACCATTTATCGAATTCAGGACTGCACAGTCCAAGCTCATCTGGGTCTGACTTTCTGAACCACTTGGACTTTAAAAGGGCATGAAGATAATCATAGTCTTCTAGTCCTGACTCATACCTCACATGGACGCTTCTTTCATTGTCAACAGCACTTCTAAGCCTACACTGGTTCAAAGGACTAACAATTCCAGACAAGACAGACAGCTTATATATGCAAAACCCACAAATTGGTCCCTAAGTAACCTTACCTCCGGGTACTGAGATGTGAACAGACTCCATGCTTTACTAGCCCTGTGTCACAAGTCCCTAGCTTCATGATTCAATGTCTCCATCAGATTTCTAGTATCACACTAAATACAGTGACACCAAGAACCAGCCCTCCCTATCTATATAATGTGAATTCATGGACCTGGATGATAGCTCATTATTTAAATGCTCCATCTCAGTTGGGGATTTTCATGTTCAGATGGCAGGCTGACCAAACACAATGACTTCTGTTTCCTCTGAAAATCCTACTACAAAAACCAATAGCAATTAACTATTTCTAAAAGGCAAAGAGACCAGATGGGCAAAAATGACAGTTAGGAAGGTTGACAGGTAGCCAGTGACTTAACAGACCTGAGAAAAGTAAATCTTGACTCAAAAGTGGGAAAAGCCAAAAAGCAACCAAGTTACTATGAACCACTAGAAATAGGAGGCAAAGTAAGACTGGCAGGATTGGGTGAAAGTCTAAGAAGCTGGGTTCCCTGCTTTTCCTGCAGGAGTTACTATTAAGACTTTCTCCAAACCCACCACCCTGGTATAAAGTAAACAGAAGGTGTGTGGATTAGGGATCTCCAGGCATACCTAAGGACGAGGGGCTTGAATAAATGTTTATAGGCCTGAGGCTGACACCGCCTTTCCCAGCTCTTCTCCTGCTTGTGCCCTGGCCACTTCCCTCAGTTAGGTTAGTTCCCTGCAGGAAGAAAACCAGATAATCCTACTCTAGAAACTCTAGCCAGTTTCCACCCCAGGTATCACCAGACAGATGAGAACCCCAACAGAAAAGGCACAGGCCAGGACAAACAAAAGCCACACAACTGAGAGGAAAGAAGCAGACTCTGTAGGGAAAAGAAAACTTAAAAAAAAAAAATTTCAAATAATTAAAAGGAGATTTCACAACAGTAAATATTTACAACCTGGAAAACCCTATGCAGGGTCACTCTGAGTTGGAACCAACACCACGGCACGGCACCACTACCATCATAACCACAAAATCAAGCCAGAATGTGTATGACTTTTTTAAAATGATGTTAAGTGCCGTCAAATCACTTCCAACTCATAGTGACAGAATATAGGGTTTCCAAGGCTGTAAAACTTGGAGCAAGAGAGACTCATAGTTTTCCCACGGAGCAGCTTGTAAGAAAAAAATGAGGATTGAAGATGAAGTTGCAGAAATTTCACAGAAAGATATGAAAATAGGAAACAGATAAAAATAAATAAGAGGTTGTCCATCATTTAAAACATAGGAGACCTAGAAAGAGAAGGAAATCCCTGGGTGTGCAAATGGTCAGTGTGCTCGGCCGCTAACTGAAAGGTTGGGAGTTGGCATCTCAGAAATAAGGCCTAGGGATCTCCTTCCTAAAAACCAGTTATTGAAAATCCTATGGTGCACAGCTCTACCTCTGACACACATAGGGTCACCATGCTTCAGAGCCGACTGGACAGTAGCTGACTGGTCTCGTCTTAAGCTATAAAGAAAAGGGTATGCGTTTCAGCTTGAAAAGATCTCAGATACTTATAGACTAGAAGAGAAAAGCTAGACGCATAAGGACAGCTGCACAGGAGGGGGAGGGGGCTGTCAGTCTATACAGGTCAGAGAAGGCCTCCTGGGAAGGGGACATTTAAGGAAAGATCTGAAAGAGCCACATGGCTGACAAACCCCACAGCCACTGAGTCAATTCCAACTCATTTATAGGTTTTTAAAAGTATAAATTTGAGCAGATGGCCTCATCTTTTCCCGAGGAGTGGCTGGTGGGTTTGCACTGCCGACCTTTCAGTTAGCAACCCAGTGGCTACCCCAGTGTGCCACCAGAGCTCCTTATGTGTCTGCCAGAGAAGAGCATTGCAAGCAAAGGATAAGTACAAGCATTGGAAGCCAGAGTATGCTTTGTATATGTGTCTGAAAAATGGAGAAGAGGCCACCCAGGCCAGAGTGGGGTGATAGGTGCAGAATGGGGCTAGAGGTAAGAAAGTACAAGGAAGAGGGATGGGGAGAACAACCATTGCAAAGACTTTGGCTGTTAGTTTGTGTGAGAATGGGAAGGTCTTGACCCATAGAGCAGACACAATCTGAAGTAATCTGGCATATTATTTGGAAGCATCTTTCTGGATGACTGGAAAGGGGGCCAGGTAGAAGGTTCTTCCAGTCATCCAGTGTCATCCAAATGACAGTGGACTGGACAGGGTGATAGCCCTGGAAGTGTCAGGAAGTAGTTGAAGTTTGGAAACATTTTGAAAGTACAGCATGGTTTGCTAATACATGAGAAGTGGGGTGTGAAAGAAAAGTCAAGGTTTTTGGCCAGAAGAGTAGAGTTGAAGCACGATAGGATAAGTACTAGACTGCTAACCATAAGGTTATAGGTTTAAATCCACCAGCCATTCCTCAAACCTTATCTATACAGGGTTCACTATCAGTCATAACCAACTCGATGACACTTACCAATAATAAATGCAGAAAATTACAGGAGGAACAAGATGAACAGATGGTAAGAAAGATTAGGAGCTTGGTTGGGGGCAAAGTGAAGACTACAGGAGGAACAAGATGAGCAGAAGTTATGGAAGATCAGGAGCTTAGTTTGGGGCAAGTGAAGTTTGAAGAGCTTGTTAGAAATCCAAGTACAGATGTCAAGCGAGCAGATGCCAAGTGAGAACCCTTTAGGAAGTCATTGGCATATGGTTGGTATTTCCAGCCACAGAAGGGTGGATGATACCACAAAGAGTGAGTGCATAGTTAGCCTAGGGACCATCCAAGTTGAGGAGGTGACCATGATAAGAGCTATTTCCTTGGAATGGTGGGAGTGAAAACATACAGACCCGGTTCATGAGAGGAAGTGGTCTGGGAGGAGAACTGGAAATACTAAGCTTAAACAACAAGAAGTTCTGTCAAGAAGAGGAGTCAAGATCTAGAGTAGATGATGGAGAGAGAAATCAATTTAAGAGCTTGTTTTTAAGATGGGGGCAGTAACAGCAGGCTTGTATTGTCTATTGATGAGATTAATCCTGTAGAAAAGAAAATCTGACGTTGTCAAAGAATGATGGGAGAATTTCTGGAACAGCGTTCTCTAATAGGCAAGGGAAACTGCTAGTGCACAAAGAGAGACTGGCTGGAGCGGGGATCCTGGGCAGACAGATATCCTGTTCTAAAAGGAAAATAGATGTATACATGCAGGGCTTGGGGTTTGTGGACATTCTCTTCCTGCTTCTATTTTATCACTGAAATACGATGCACAGGTAACAATGAGGATGGGGAAAGTACAGATATGAGCAGCCAAAGAGAATGGACGCGTGAAGAGCCTGAATGACGTAATGGTAGCTGGAGAGCAGTAAGGGCCTGCTTGAACCCTGTTATACTAGCTAGTATGGTTTTTCTCTACTTATATGTAAAAGTTTCTGAAGGCACTAAGCTCTTCCCACTGTCCCCATCCTCCCCCCACCCCTGCCAAAACGTTGTCCACTATACTTTTGAGGGAATGAATATAAAATGGACCATGGAATTTCAGCTGGATAAGGAGAGGAGGGAACACGAGGGAGAAACATTAAAAAAGGTTGGTAGTACCACTGTGGGTCAAAGATTTTGTGGTGCTGTGCGCTAATGCGTCAGACTGCAAAGTTGTTTGAACTTCAACATCGGTAGTTCAAGCTCACCAGGTGCTCCTTGGAAACCCTATACAGGGTCGCTATGGGTCAGAATCGAGTCGACAGCACTTAACAGCAACAAGGTTGACAGTTCAAACTCACCAGCCACTCCTTGGAAACACTATACAGGGTTCACTACAAGTCAGAACCGACTCCACGGCACTCAGTTACAACAATCTTTACATAAGTATAAGACACCTCTTTCTTCGGAGCAGCTAGAGGGTTCAAACCACCAACCTTTTGGTTAGCGTCAACTGTTTAACCACTGTGCTGCCAGGCCTGCTAGAAACTGTAAAAAAAACACATGGCTGGGATTATGGAGAAGTTGTAGGTATTGATGACAGGACACTGTATGTGTGCGATCCTGTAGGACGAGATCAGTGAAGGGTGGACTCACAAAAACAACGACAGGAATGGTGGCGGAGTGAGAAGACAGTGAGCCTGGAGGTGGGGAGGTCACTGCGACGGGAAAGTAGGAGCCAGGGGGGGTGAGGTTTAGCTATGAACAGGATCCATATGGTCATAAGGGAAACAGGGAATACTGGTCTAGTCAAAACTACAACTATATTGGGAGGCAGGAGGGCCAAGGGGAGTAAGTGTATGTATTGGAGTGGGAGGTCCTAACAGAAAATCCCTGTCATTAGTAATGGAGAGTCAGGAGGTTAAGACTCCTAACTGAACAATCAAGAAGTAGCAATGCAAAGTAGATATTTCGAGGCATTCAGGTAAAAATGAAAAATACCAGCCAAAAGATTTAAACTGACTAGGTTAAGAGTTTTTAAAATAACACACCTAAGAGAATAATTTGACTCTTTATATTGTACATATATAGCTGAGGCAGTAATAAAATCTAAAATAAATAAATCAAGCAAGCCTAACTTGTTGAAAAAGTGAGTAATGATGTAATCTTGAATTAGGTGGTTATTCACCACCACTGACAAGTTAGATCCATGATAGCAATCTAAACTACTCATCAAATCTTATTTTCTCAGGAAGGACGCAATCTTGCTAACTGATGCTTTTGACTTCACTGATATGTGTTTAAACTCAGCACTTGGCTGTTATGATGGAAACGTCTATCAACGTCTGTTCGACTGGGCTCAGAGATCGCCAACCAATACTCAGGTAGAGGAGTCCAACTCATTATCAACTATGTAAAGAGAGCAGAAAACAAGCAGTGAACGCACCTCCATGTTTCCCATTGAAACTCATTTCCATTAGGTTGGCAATCACTTGGCATAACATGTTTGTGGGAAATATTTTTAGAGAGCACGTCAAAGAAACCCAGAGTGGGGGTGTGGCTTGGCAGAAGCTCTGCGTCTAGACTGTAATCAGCAAAATGCACAGCTTATAACTTAGTAAAGGGATTGGGAGGAAGCCCCAAGATCTAAACCATGGCTTGACACACATAAAGGTATACACTCACAGTGGCAAAGTGGTATTTAAGTACCAAAAATAAGATAGATCACTGTGGTCATTTAACCACCTCATTTTCAGCCTTTTAACTTTCAGTTTCATGTAGTAAAAGTGGGTTTCCAAAGGGTGACAGGCTGCTTGAGGGTAGGAGAAGCAAGCAGACCAAGTGTCTTTCAGTCCTGACTATAGTGTAAAAAGTACAATGCCAGGAACAAAGAAGGTTGCTATACCATCATCAGTAGTCCAGGAAAGCCATGTAAAAGTACCAGGGTTATGGTGGAAAGGTCCCCAGCTGTCCTAAGTGAGAATACCAGAACTCTGTGTCCTGTACTGGGGGTGGGGAGGGGTGAGGGTGGGGGTGGCTCAGAAAGTCCTGTTGGCGCCAGAGTCCCAGATTGTCTGCTTGAAGTTTCAGTGGGAAAAGTGACAGATGTCAAAGAATACATTAACTGGAGTGAAGAAATAAACCCTATACTTAGAATTTAGAGTACTGAATATCAAATTTGATATAAATGATCAAAATGACAACCTATAGTACACAATGGGTTATTTTAAGTTCTACACTACAAATGTTAATCATATGGTAAAACTTACTTTTTACCTCTTTAGTTAAAATTCAGAAAAGGTGTCTTAACACCTCATCAAATTGACAACTTTCAAGCTTTCTTTCACACTTAGCTCTTTGTGCTTAACAATCTTCATCCTGACATACATAATCTTAATGTGATACCTAGGTACAACGTAACTCCCAAGATGGTTGTCAGGTAGAAGATCAATCCATTTTGGTCATTCCCAGTCCCCCAAAAGACATCCTTTTAAGTCAACAAGGAATACACGGGGGCCTCAAAAAGTTTAGGGGAAAATGAAATGAAAGATCATAGAACTATTCCCCAAACTTTTTGAAGTCCCTTCAGATAAACAGTTTACATAAAGAAGGTATGATACGTTTACTGCTTGCTATACTTCAGGTCTTTCAGTTGCAATTTTTTAAAAAACGACATCTTTCTACTTTTCTAACATTTAATTCCTGGTGTACAAATATCGCAGTTGTCCCACCCCAGATTAGCTCCTGTGGTCTAAGGATGAATGTGTGCCCTTTTGGTACTGGTGATAAATTCGCATCCTGCTGAAACACACAAGGGGGCTTCAGAAAGTTCATGGGAAAATGGAATTAAAAGATACAGGAACTCTTTGAAGCCCCCTCGTACAGTTCAAGCCTATTTTATTGGCATCACAAAGCAGCATTCTAATACTTTTGATGCCCCATTATCTTTAAAGAAGATAAGAGATTCTGTTTCTTGCTTCATTTTTAATCTTTACGTTAAAAGAATTTAACTTCTACTATAGGAGAGCAAAAGGAGCCCTACTGGGCTCTAAGACAAGCACTGGACTGCTAACCATAAGGTCAGCGATTAAAACCTCCCAGAGGCTCCACAGGAGAGAGACAAAGCTCTCTGCTCTCAAAAACATGTACGTCTCGGAAACTCCTGTATAGGGTTGCTATGAATTGGAACTGACTTGCTGGCAGTGGGTGTGGTTTTCTGTTGTTTTGTTTTCTGTGAGAGCAAGTTGAGGTAAATGGGAGCAGGATGAATCCATAGCATCAAGGTATTTGGTAAAAACATTGGTGCACTTCTCCCGTTCACTTTCCTCTCTCTCTTTCCACTTGCCTGGGGAAAAGGGTGGTGCTTTCTCCTTCCTAACTCCAGTAGCTACGCCACAGGAAACACTCCATGTTTATGGGATAAATGGGCATGATTTCATGACCTCCACGGAGAAATGAAGGAACTCGCTGCATACAGATGCTACAGATTCTCACCATCGTAGCTTACACTGTTTTCGAGCAGATTTCGACTCACAGTGCCTCAGGTGACAGAGTAGAACTGTCCCATGGGAGTTTCTTGGCTGTAATCTTTATGGAGAGATTATGGAGTGCTCTAAGATCAGCACTGGACTTTAAACCACATAGTTGGCAGTTCAAGCCCACTTGCTGGTGCTTGGAAACCTTACACTTGGGTCACTATGAGTCAGAACCAACTTGACGGCACCTACCAACAATGACAATCATTGTGTAAGCAAATCACCAGGTCTCTGTCCCATGAAGCCACTGGGAGAATTTGAATTGCCCACCTTTTGGTTAACAGCTGAGTGTCTAACTGTGTTTCCACCAGGTTAGCTTACATCACCTTACTTACAACAGTGTGGCTTTCATACACTGCATTTTAAGAACCTGGATTACAAATGACCTTGAAGAACTGTTTCTAACTAGTTAAAATGACACTCAGTTGACTGCTAATTTATAACCTCATGATCTTTCAAGCACATTTCTTGCTCCTCCAGAGAACACTAAAATAACACTTGGAAAGTAGATTTTTTTAACCTGCTGTAGTTCATTTTGAAGGTGCAGAGCTATTTTTCATTTGCCCTAGTAGAAAAAGGCACACTATAGTATAGGTGTTTCAAATAACTTAAAACAGCAGCTAATTGAAACCTGCTTTGTAGACACAAAACTATAAACAGGAACAAATTTAACTGATCTGTTCTGTGAAAAGTAAAGTGTTAAGCTTATTTAAATGTTAAATGTCTTAAAATCATAGAAGGGCCTCACGTGTAGGACAGGGTAAGTATAGAGTTTTATCTCCAGACAGTATGCTCTCTCTCAGCTTACCCTAGCCCTGTCTACTTTTTGACATGGGATGCTATTTCAAGCCATATTCTCATATGTGAACAGCAAAGGGGTCTCCCCTACCCCTTACCCCCCATGACTTCTTATCTAAGTGATACCATGTGATACAAGCAGTACAGCTATCCCCAATGATGCTAATGTATAAATTTGTCCAAGCAGGGGTTACATGTGCTAAACACATCTACTGATTCATTCATTCAGTCCATCATTCAATAAATATTTATCAAGCACACATTATATACCAGAAACTATTCTAGCTACGTGGGATACAACAGAGAAAAGAGACGTAGATCCCAATTTCAAGGAGCCTACAGTGTTTAATTTTTTGCCTAACGACTACCGTAAAAATAAAGCTAGAGCTGAGGAAGAGAGAATGAAGACACACTGCATTAGAGAAGGGAGATAAACTCTTCTAACAGAGAAAACTTTACCTGATTCTACCTTTCGAGATTCCTGACTTTGTGGAAGTATTCCATTTAAAGGGCCTCAAAAGAGGCCTTTTTTCCCCATACTAAATTTTAAAACCTACTGCCAGCAAATCCAATTTCCACTCATATTGACCCTGGAGGGCAGAGCAGAACGACTCCATTGATTAGACAAAAGCAAATGATAAACTGTGTTGTGTTTTTTGGTTTTAATTGGCCACCTGTATGCACAATGTAAAATCTGCATGAGACAAGGATGCCCTTTGCAAAAAATGTTTCACCATATGTTCAACTTGAATGGATTTTTTAAATAATTTAAAAAATTAAGATCTTAACCGATGATACTTGGAGTGGATTGTAATCATAACAATGAAATAAAATACAATTGGTTTGAATGTAAAACCAATGTTCTGCCATGTAAACGATCACTCATTCCACAATAAAATCTTCTTAAAAACAAACAAAAAAAACCCAAAAAACTATAATCTTAAGAAATTGAAACTTAGATTATTATGATAGAAACCATACAGATTCTAAAAGAAAAAGAATGTGTCAGGAAGCATACATAGACTGTGCCTCTGTGCTTTATGGGAAGATCTCTGGAGAGTACTTACAGAAGGTATGCACACAGAGCATTCCTTATGAGGCTTGCCTCAGCCCCAGTCCTGAGAGCGTGGGTTGCCAGTCCCTCTGATTCTTCAATCAGACTTCCAATGGTACAGTGGACATGGACTGCAATGGTTGCAATTCAGGGACACATGTCTGACATTTTCAAGGCCACTATCAAAGTTAGAGATGTTATGATAGGCTAAATAAAAGTTTTATGTTCACTCACAAAAGAAAAAAAAAATTCAGGATTTTACATACTGTTACTTTTTTAAGGCTAAGTATTTAATTCAAAGTACAGTCATTAATCTTCATAGAACTGTTATGTCTTAATAATGTATTCTTTTCTCTACACAGAGGAATCCTGCCTATGAGAAATACTTACGACCACTATTACAAAGCTGGAAAGCCAAGTTATGAGAAACATCCAACAGTATTCAAGAGGCAAACAGGACTACTATGTGATAATGGTACTTTGGTAACAGAGAAGAAACTATTTTTAAATTACATTATATATTTTTGTAGAAAGTCCTTTACATTTTGGAGCCAAATTCTTAAGTACTTAAAGATGAAATTATATCTGTCATTTACTTAAAATAATCTACTTGTGTGTGGGGGGGGGGGGGGGGAGTAGTGAGTTAATTGTTGTGGTTGATCGATGGGCACATGGTATCCATCATCTCTCATAATAAAGAACAGTACCACTATCCATTTTGTTGTATCTATTTTGTTAAATACCAGGTCTTTGCTTTAGATCTAGCAAAAGCAAACAGATGCATTTGTGTGTGTCTATGTCTTTAGCATACACAGATTCTAGGATTTAAAAGGACACACACCTACATACATACACTCTTCCTCCCAAAGTTCCTATACAGTGTAATTAAAATAAAATGTAGGGTCCTTATAATGCAGCTAATAGGAATTTTAAACTCCATGATTCCAACTCATAGGGACCCTATATAGGGTTTCCAAGACTATAAATCTTTATAGGAGCAGACAGCCTTAGCTTTCTCTCACAGAGCAGCTGATGGATTTGAACCACCAACCTTGTGTTTAATAGCCCAATGCCTAATCCACACAGCACCACCATGGCTCCTATAACAAACATAATTGTCTCAATTTGTCCATATAATTAAGCAACATTTTCACATTACTTTCAGTTGACCAACTAGATAAAAACACTCCAAATTAAACATCACTAGACAAATTACAAAAAAATCTCAATTGGCCACTTCTCCAAATCCACAAAATTACATAAACAATCTCACTGCTAATACAGTAAATCTGAGAAAACATACCAAAAGCAAACTTGGCTCCATTAACTGAGAAACATTTAAAAATTCAGAAGTACTGCTATTGCCATTTCCATACCTGTTTGACTTCTCATTCATCTATGCTAACTCAACAATAAACACTGATTGGTGTTTTACATAACCAATTAATTTGAATGAGGTAATTTTCCTGAAGAACAAACTCGTATTAGCATACTCATTACTCAACCATAGTCACCTGTCAGTCACATTAGGAATTTTAGTTTGAAGATGGTAAAAAGGGTTAATTGTAGACTTTTAGATATTCAAGTTATGACAAATAACCAATAACTTTTCAGAGACAATGGACAAAAATGGCTATCTCTCCCCCCAAAATATGTATTAGTCTGCAGCTAGGGGTGTGACTTGTTTGTAAACTGGGGTTTTCTTTTGCTGACAGTTCAAGTTCATACTGGAGTAGAATAGATCCTCCTCCTAATCCTTTCTTGGATGGCATTTTATAAAAGAGCTAAGCAGACAAGGGAGTATCTATGGACCAAAAAACACCTCGTGTGGCACTGTAATATAAGCTGGCCTACTAACCACAAGGTTAACAGTTCAGATCTACCAGCTTCTCCTTGGAAACCCTATGCAGGGCTTCGATGAGTTGGAACTGACTTCACAGCACTTAACAACAACAAAAGCAGAAACTGAAGACAAGAATAATCTTTCCCTGTGCAGAGAGAGAGCATAGCCCTCCCACGCCTTGAATTCAAGACCTCTAGCCTCCAAAGCTGACAAAAATTAATTTTCTGTTCTTCAAAGCCATCCACTCTGTGATGCTCTGTTATGGTGGACCAGGGCATACAGACACCACTGTTTCAGAAAGAGAATCTCAGAAGTTCATAAACATAGGAGAAAGTGAACACACAGCCTCAGAGCTCCGCTTGTTCCTCAGAATACCAAGAAAGAAAATGGCATGGCTCCCTTTTAAAAGGTGTTCTAGCAAACTAGGAAGATTCCTTATAGTGAACACAATCCTTCCTTTCAGTAACTTCCAAGAAACAGAATCAAATGAGCTCCGTAAAATACGCTTCCAATGTAGTAAAAGTATTCATATTTTTCAAATGGTTCCAGAGCCTTCGTTCACTGTAAGTCTGTTTCTTCTGATCAGACACCAACTTAGTTTTAATAACTTCTGTGAATCTCCACAATATATTAAAGTGGCTAACGAGTCCACCTGTGCTTAGAACAAAGCTTGAATCAGTCATAGACAGAGCTGACAAGCTGGTGGCTTAATGAGTAAAGATCTGTAATCAACTTAAAGCCTATTTGAAAAGAAATTTGTCAAACTTAATCTTCACTGTTCAGATGTTTTAGGAAATATGAATAATTCCATCCTTTCTGGTTAAAATATAGTAAAATTCTGATCAACTGTAAGAAACCCAGGACTCTAGTGAGACCTCTGAAACATAAATGTGCTATTAACAGTATACATTGGACTATACAGCAATGTATATTTTAGACAAAATGATTCCCCTCTTAAGTAATAATAATAAATACAAACCTAATTTTCTTATTTCACTTTTTATTAACTTTTTCCTGGTAAACAGTACGCTTGAGAATTATACTGCACCAGGCATAAAAAGTAAAGATTTCTACCACAGGGACATTTTGTATTCAGAATCGAATATAAATATTTCTATTCAGACATTTCCATGGCTACAGATATTTGGTTGCTTGATTTATATGCATAGAAAGAAACAGTTGTCATAACTGTAAAAAGCAGTACTTAACAAGTACTTTTAAATGATTGGAATAGTTTTCTTTTAATATCACAATACTGCTTATTGGTTTGGAAACTAAGTCATCCTACATGTTTTGATTTTTCCCAAAGGCATCACAAGTACTCTGCTTATCCTTTCAGTACTGTATGTTTTAACATCCTAGTTGAGTGAGGGACCATTTAATCAGAAATCATTTTAGCACTGTAATAAAACAAAGCTCTGTTAAAGGGTAGGTTATATACCATAATGATTTTCAGATTTCTTTTTATAAAAAAGGTATCTGGAGACTGAACAGGCACATGCATACTCAAGGTGGAGGAGATAATACATGGAGGAGTCTGCTAAAGCACAAAACTTCCTTCCTGGTCCTCAATGCCTTCAAATAAATACAAATATTTAAAAAAAAAAAATCCCACTCTGTAATTTAAAACAAGATCCGTCTCTTCCATTTCCTGGAAGTCCATTTCCAGGAACTTCTCCCAGGCTGGATGGAGCTCAGTCATCTGTCTTGCGGGCCAGTCGACAGAAAGTCCAGTTGTGTTCCACTGTGTTCTCGTTGGCCCGCTCACTCATGTGATGCACTCGCGTGTTGCGGATTGTAAAACCTTGTTTTGTAATGTATTCCATCAGATGCACCCGAAGAGAAACTTCTTGGTGGTAATCGCAGGGTCCAAAAGTAAAGGAAACCTGGCAGTCTCTGGTGTCCATCATGTGCTTATTCCACTTGGTAAAATAGTTTGAGATGCCCTCTAGCAGGGAGTGAACCTTGGTGGTGATGGTTAATTGGGTTATGATGACAGCCACTGGATTGGAATACTTAGAAAGCTTCCGAGTACTCGACAGCTCCACAACTTCTTCAAAAGTATCCATAGGATACAAAGGCTTAGGGTCATTGAGACACTGGATCAAGGGCTCAATCTGATAAAAATCTGCTTCTTTTCGAAGCAGATCAAATTCCTTAAAATCCAGGGGTAAGGTCAACTCTGAAGTTCTCAAGAAGTTGAGGACATAACGGAAAAGAGGTCCATCTCGATCAATGAAGTAATTGCCTTGAGGGTCCCGCGCTGTGGGGAAGTCCCCCCCAAACATAGCTCCAAGCATGGAATCTGGATAACGCGTCAATGTGGTAAGAGACGTTGTGTACAAGTGTCCACCTACATTTAATGTGACTGGGTCAGTCATCTGAAATGTGTTAAGAAAATGATCAGTCATCTGAATTTTTTTTTTTTTTAATCTTAACTTGGACAAATTAAGGCAATTAATATTATCGAGCAAAGTAAAGCATTCTTTGAGCTAGAATATATTTGTTGTTGTTAAATGCCTTCCAGTTGGTTTTGATTCATAGTGACCCTGCTTATCTAGCAATCTTATAAAGGAGTCTGGGTGTGGCACTGTAAAATAAGTACTGGACTGCTAACCACAAGGTCAGCAGTGCCAATCCACCAGCCACTCCTAGGAAACCCTATACAGGGTCCTTATGAGTCAGAACCAACTCCACAGCACATAACAATTGTGCTAATAAAGAAACAGCTTTACTTCAGTGGTAAGCCCGCCCAGAAAAAGGGATCTAACATTTGCTTTCAATTTGAGTTGTTTTTGTTGTTGTTGTTAAGTGCGCTCGGGTCAGTTTTAACTCACAGCGACCCTGTTGTATAGGGTTTCTGAGAAGCAGCTGGTGAGCCTGAACCACTGAATTTGCAGTTCAAAGGGACTTTGCAGTCCAGTGCATTAACCAGCAGTACCACACCAGTACTCAATTTGGGGGTGGGGGTGGGGTGGGGGGCAGAAAAACAATAAATCCAATTCTTTAAAAACTTACTCAAAGAATGGAGGTATATACCTTCAATACTTCAAGACCCAGTGCATTTCAGGCCACGTATCTAGAGAGAATTTTTCAGGTCAGAGTATATTGTGTTGTTTTTAAATGCCACTGAGTCAGTTCTAACTCACAGCAACACTGTGTAGGGTTTCCAAGGAGTGACAGATGAGTGAGTGACTGATGAGTTTGAACCCTGCGATTCAAAATGATTTTGGTCCAGTGTTTATCCTACAGCGCACCATACCAGGAAGGGGATAAGAGCCAAAGTAAAATATACTCAGTAAGCCTCTTATTTTTAAAAAAGGACTTGACATTTTTTCTTTACTCAGTTTAACATAACATAGAATTAAAATGATCTGGTAATAAGAAATATAACTACTTTCGACATTTCTTCATTTTTCCTCCAGAAAAGAGGAAATTTCATCATGCCCATTTATTTTTAAAATAAAAATTTGTCAGGGCTGATAGAGAAGTCCTGGGAATGGTGATAGTTGAATAACATGAAGAACACACTTATGATCTCTGAACTACACATGCGAAGTTTGTTAAAATGACATGTTTTGTTGCCTATGTATCTACAGCAACTTAAAAAAAAAAAAAAAACACCTATCAGATATAATCTTGATAACTATCATGGAATTATTTCTGAATATTAAGTTAAAATGTACAGTCTAGTCAATATATCCTAGCTAAAAAACCACCATACAGCTTTAAAGTTTCGTAATCTGATGGTACATTCACTTTTGAAACTTTAGTGTGGCAATCTGGCGTTTAATTTTGAGAAGTAGTCTTTAAACAACACATACTTTTGGTTTTAAAAATCTTATTTAAGGAAAAAAAACAATACAGGCAGGTAGACTTTAGTTACTAAACTATTTTTTACAAGTACACACACAGAAAAGTGCAAGTGGGAAAAACAGCACTAATCTCCCTAAAAACAAGAAAATATCATCAGTCCTTTACCTGCTACACCCTTTCAAAAGTCTCTTGCATAGAAGAAAAGTTTCAAGAATAATATACTTCAAGACCAAAAAGTCATGGTATCTCTCAAATAAGTCATTATAATAAGCAGCCTTATCAAGTTCACATAAACACACCCAAAACCTGCTCTCCAAATACATCTAAAGTGATGAAACAAGTGGAGTTATTAAATCCATGATTTTCATTTGAATGAATTACACCTAAGAATATATAAAGTGAAAAAGATACACAAAAATAATGTGTCAGCCTTCAAAATACACCTGTCAAGAGTGACTCACCATATAGCCCCAGTCTCCATTATCCATCTGCTCCAGCGCTGCGTCTTTGGGAGCCCAGGTTCCAGGAAAGCTTCGGGAGAAGAGCAGACATCGAGAGCATACATAATTATGAAAATAGGAGAAATTAGCAGCAAGGTTTCCCTACCTAACAGAGCAAGTCAAACTCATTTTTGCTCAACCGAAACCTACTCTGGAGCAGAGATCCAGGGAAGAAAGCCTTCCAGATTCTCTTCCCATCACAAGGACCATGAGCCCATTCAGAACATCAACCTAACTTATACTTACAGGAGGAGGAAGAACCTAGGAAATAAACCAGTCAATCATTCAAATTCTACCTATCGTTTCTCAAAATACAATTTTTAAGCTAGCGTAGTGGTTACAAATTGGGCTGTGAACCGCAAGGTCAGCAGTTTGAAACTACCAGCGGTTCCACGGGAGAAAGATGAGGCATTCTGCTCCCGTAAAGATTTACAGCCTCAGAAACCCTGTGCAAGGTCGCTATATGAGTTGGAAACGACTCCACGGCACTTAACAACATCAACAACACAACAACATGGAACACTAGAGTCTTGGTGTGGTGCAGTAGAATAAACAATAGACCCTAAGGTTGGTTTGAACTGCAATGTCGGCAGTTCAACTCACCAGCCACTCCTCAGAAACCCTATACAGGGTTGTTATGAGTCAGGACTGATTTGGCAGCAAAGAACATTATGATGAACTCTACATCCCTATCCCAGTACAAACCTCTGTAAGGGTCCTTATCAAAAAGATCATTTGAGAGAGAAGGAAGACAGACATAAAAAGCATTTCAGCCATAAAAATGAAATATCTTAGTAAAATATTAAAAAGCATACAAGTCCCAAGACATCCCTATTGCTCTCCATGAGGAATACACCCAAACAAAACGTTTTACTTATCATGAAGAACTATTGATTTTTTTTTAACTGATGAAATAGCTTTTACATTTTGACTTTTATTAGATTGCTGTTGTTCGGTGCCAGTTAGCTGGTTCCTACTCATAGTGACCCTATGCAGGAAACACCAATCCTGGGCCATCCTCACAATTATTAATTTTTTTCTTTAAATGTTTTATTGTGAATTATGTGATAGTTTATATGGGAGAACATTAGCTTTACATTCATCCTATCGCATATCGTTTCATTGCCATGGTTACAATCCCCTCCATGCATCAACCATCCCCCCCCTCAACAGCCCCGGGGTCGCACACACAGCCCCTCTCCTTCTCTAGGTCTAGAGTCCCCAGCCGCTCCATCTCTCTACGTCATCTCTGCCTCCATCTCTGGTGTCACTGCTTCTCTGGGTAAGGTCCCGTACTCCGCTCTTCTCCCTTGATGGTCCCAGGAACCTCCACTCCTGGACTGCAAAGTCAGTCACTCCTCTCCTTTTGCTACAAAACCTTTACATTTCCAACCCTCACAGTCAGCCCTGATAACAATTATTCACTATTATATCACAAGAGACCTGTTGCCATCTCCTTTCATCAGCCCCACCCAGACAGAGTGGAGACTCTATCTTCCTCCTGGCCCTCTGGATGTAGGCTCCCTCTTGAAAGCTTGTAAGCCAGTCACTTCTTGCCTTTTTAGCCCCCCATTTTGGGTAGCTGATGTCCAAGTTGCCCATCCCTTCTACTCTGTGTATGGAGGGGGTAGAACTAGTAATTTTTAAATAATGATGTATTTCACTCTGTACAATAATCAAAACACGTAGAAAACACTTCAAATGCCAAATCACTAAGAACACAATTTCAGGCAAAAAGAACGTTCCAAATCTAGTTGAGAGTCCATCAGCTGGCATTTACGGAGAGCCAGCTTCAAGACACTGAGAAAAGCCCAAATACTAATGTGAAGCCAGTTTCTGAACTTATTTTTCAATCAACAACTCAAAACAATTTAAACATTTTCCGAGCTACTGAATTGCTGTATCCAGTTCACCTCTTTTCTCCCAAATCAATGTGCAAAGCAATCGCAGAGCAAATTTCAATTGCTCCTGCAAGAGATGGTAAGAAACACGGACTTAGAGGTATTCAGCCAGGAAAAGCATTTGTTTTTTTAACATGGTCTCTGAACAGCTCTAGTTTTCCCACTTTTAGAGGAATCTGGCACACAATTCCCAGAACAGGCCCCTAGCTGAAGAAGATCACAAAGGCTCTTTCTCAAAAGGTCACTCAGGCATGTAGAGAACATTTGCATAGCACAGCAGGAGTTGAAATCAGACCCCAAAGCATCTATTTCTCTACCTTGCAAATTTTTTAAAGCAAACAAGCTAAAATGTGGACCAGACGATGTGGAGTCACTTTATATTCTCCCTACTCAGCAATTGGATATAGACAGGCCTCTACATGGTGGGTCGCTATGGGTCGGAACCGACTCGATGGCACTTAACAACAACAACAACAACTACATGGTGGGGAGAGATACGGAACAAATGTCAAATTCAGGGTTGTTGCCACAACCTCCTACTCTTCTAACTTGCTTCAAACAGTATTTGAAGTAAACAGAACCAAGAAGCAAGCTTAACCAATTTGTCTTACAAGCATCTGAGTCAGTTAAAGAGAAGAAACAGATCTGTAACAGCGATTTAAAAGGCCAGCCTTTCAAAAGTTCAGCTACAGTGTTCCTCTTTGGCATTGTCCCATCACCCAAAGTATTCACTCCAAACAATTCATTCAACCACATTTACTGTAGGTCAAGTAATGTGGATGCACAGAAATAGAAATAGTGAAGGGGCAATGTTCGCTTCATGGAGCTTTCAATCTATGGAGAAAAGCAACATGCAACATCTGAAATACTGAATTCAAAAGTGAACAAGGATAGATAGAGGAGCCCTGGTAGCTCCGTGGTTACATGCTTGGCTGCTAACCAGAAGGTCGATAGTTCAATTCCACCAGTCACTCTGAGGGGGAACGATGTGGCAGTCTGCTTGTCTCAAAATTTATAGCCCTGAAAAATCCCCTGGGGGCAGTTGTACTCTGTTCTAGTCAATTCCGACTCATAGCGACCCTGTATAGGGTTTCTAAGGGGCAGCTGGCTGGTGGGCTTCAACTACCAACCTCACAGCAGTTCTGTGCTTATCCTACACCAAACCAGGACTCTATCCTATAAGGCTGCTACTATAAGTCGGAATCCACTTGATAGTAATGGGTTTATACAATAAATGACCAGCAGAGATCCATGTGAGAGAAGAGGACTAAATATTCAAAACGGGAAAATGGAGAAAGAGTTCACTCAGTTGAGTCCAAAAGGCAAATGCAGACAACATGAGGAAGGGATTCTGAATGAACAAACAAGCATGGAAGCATTTTTCCAACATCTCTAATCCAGTAAACAGAGTTGTTGTTAAGTGCCATCGAGTCGGTTCTGACCCACAGCGACCCTCTATAGGGTTTCCGAGGAGCAGCTAGTGAATTTGAATCACTGACCTTGTGGTTCAAACCGACTTTGCAGTCCAAGGCATTAAACAGGGCTCCAGTAAACAGAAAGATCTAGACTTGGAGTTAGGAAACCTATGTACTTACCCACTTAATTCCCAGCTGAGGGGCCTTGAGCAAAGGACATAATCTGTTCTGTTTCTTATTACTCCTCACTCCCAGTAAACACAGTAGAAGCATGGATTACTAAGAAACAGAACAGAGTAAGTGATTTACTCAAGGCCCCACAGCTGGGAATTAGGTGGATAAGAAAGTAGGCTTCCACATTCCTAGTCTAGACCTTTCTGTAAGTCCCTTCCTGGAACAGAAACGGAAAGGCCAGACAAGAAACAAATGAGAAGTTGAAAGGATCAACTTTAGATTTCCTATGTTGTTGTTAAGTGCCTTCGAGTCGGAGCCGACCCATAGCGACCCTGTACAGGGTTTCCGAGGGTGTAAATCCTTACGGGAGTAGAAAGCCTCATCTTTCTCCCGCGGAGCGGCTGGTAGTTTCGAACCACTGACCTTAAGGTTCGCAGCCCGATTCGTAACCACTACGCTACCAGAGCTCTATAGCTATCTATTAACTCCTGGTTATTATTAACTGTAGTATCAGCACTGGATTGCAAACCACAAGGTTGGCAGCTCAAACCTACTAGTTGCTCCTTGGAAACCCAATACAGGGTCACAAACAACATTTATTAACAAGCACCCTAGCAGGGATTTACTGTATCTATATATTTATCAGTCTCTGTGAGTATGCAATCATAACAGGTTTATAAAAATTTCCCCAAGGTTAAGAAATGTTAGGAAGCTACTTACTAATGGGAGTGATGGCTGCTGCCCTGACTTCATGACATAAAGAACTCCAGCCAATCAATAGCTGACTGAGAAATGGGAGACCAAATAAATACACAGGACGAGGGACGGGCAGCGTTAATGTCACTGCGCTCTTCCACTTAATCCTTTTTTGTTTTTTCTATTTTTACTGCTAAATCAAAACAAGATGACTTCTTGGGCAGTCATAAAAGGAAAGTGAGATGCCCCTAAATTTGCTCTACAGCAAAAGCAAGGTTCCATAACAAAGATGTAATGAAACCTCAAGTTTATCAATTCAGGAAAGCAATTACGGAGTCTGGATAGGTCCATGTTTCATAAAAAGTACCCAAAAGTCTCCCTATGTTTGTGAATAAAATAACAACAACAACAAATGAAGCAAACTTATCTCTTAGGCACTTCCAATTACTACATTGTACAAAATAAATAAATGGTTCATTAAAGACCCTTAAGGGAAAGAAATAAGTATTGGTTGCTTTAAATTTTATTTTGACTTTTTACTCCTGAACAAACAAATGAACCTAACAATACAGAAAGATTCCTGGTTTTTCAGTAGCTGGACCAACCTCTGAAATGAGGACTTTTAGGAACACTTCAGAGACAAACTGGATGAGTGAAATAAAACATAATCCAAAAGAATTTCCGGAATAGCTTCAATCTTTTATACGAAATCATTTTCCAGAGCTGCAAACAATTAGAAAATGATTCATTTGCTTTTCATCTTCTCTCCCTTCTGGCACCATCTCCACTGGAGGGCTTAATGAGAAGTTTAACACAAAACAGGCAACAGAAGGAAGATCTTGAAATGGGCATCAAATGGGCCTGTTTTACTTGATGATGACAAAGAAAAAACTATTATTTCAGAACATTTGCCAAAAACGGAGATGAAA